GAGATTTGAACCGCTGAACTGCTGATCTAGCAGTCAGCCTGCAGTGCTGCATTTAACCACTGCGCCACCTTGGCTCATGGTATAAAATTGCATTCAAAATGTGCTGTACAATATTGATGAAATGTTACAAGCCGTTCTCAATTTACAACCACAATTGAGCCCCCCATTTCTGTTGCTAAGTGAATTTTGTCCCATTTTATGTGGCACAGTTGTTAAGTGAATCACTGCCATTGTTAAGTTAGTAACCCTGTTGTTAAATGAATCTGGCTTCCCCATTGACTTTGCTTGCAAGGTGGTCGCAAAAGGGGACCACATGACCCTGGGCCACTGCAACTATCATACATATGAATCAGTTGCCAAGCATCTGAATTTTGATCACATGTGACTATGGGGATGCTGCAATGGTCGTTAAGTGTGAAAACATAAGTCACTTTTTTCAGTGCCATTATAACTTTGAACGGTTAGTAAATGAATTATTGTAAGTCAAGGACTACCTCCATTCCTTTATAATGAATCTCAGGATGTCTTTTTCATAATAGTCACAAACTGGATCAATATTTTTAACTGAAGTATTCAACCCAGCAGGAAAATTTTTGAAACTAGGAAATATTTCCTTAGCATATGTCACTTTATATGTTGAACTTTATCTTTTTGATGCCAATTCACATAAATTTAGAAAATCCCTTTGGAACTGTTTGTTATAATTTCTTATTATTTGCATCATCGGCAAATCTCACTACCCAATTCTAGCGTGTTTCTAAACAGCAACTTAAAACAACAGAAATAATTAAAAACACATTTATATTTAACTATTACTCCTTTTTATACTAACCTGTCTACTTCATCTCGAGCAACAATGTCTCCTTTTTTTAAGGCTTTAATAGCAAACATTTCATTAGTATTTTTATACTCGGCCAATAGGACCTGAAATACAAACAGCGTGTTTTTATTGTTTAAAAAATCTTATTGGTTTAATATTTCTTTTAGATTTATAATCATTTTTAAGTGGACACAAATTCACACACAGATTTTCTAAGTATACTAAAATCAATTGATCCTCAAGGATAGCTATGCAGATACGCATAGCGTATGTCAAATACAGCAAATATAGCAAATATGTATGCCAAATACACAAAATTGTAATTTTAACTCTCACAGGTACCTTTCCGAAATGTCCTCTACCCAGAACAGCACAACATCGGAAATCTTGTAAACTAAACTGAAATCTCTGTTGTATTCTGAAATACACAAATGTTTAAAAAAATGAGAATCCAATCCTCCTTGAAATACTAAAGCAAAGCAGTTTTCATTCTCTGGAAAGACTCCCATCAATGCATCTGCAAAGCACAATTTTTTGCATAGCCTTATTCAGCATGAAGTGATATATAGTTATATATAAGTAACACAATAGCTTACCTTCTATCTTCAGGTACTTGTTTATACTCAATATCAGAATTTGAAATCTGAGTCTCACAAATAATTTCTGGTTGAAATTTTGGAACAAAATTATTTTTGTCATTCTCAAAATCAAATGTTTCCACATCCTGTGAAAATTTGAGAAACAAATAAAAAGAAAGTTCAAAAATATACCAGAAATTTGAGAAGTATGCTTAATTTAGAAGAGTAAAACTAGATTGATAGTTTTTCAGAGCCATAATTTGAAAAATCATCTATAAAAAGCACTTTTGCTACATTTCTATACTTCTATAAAATTTAGAAAGTTAACTGAAACAGGAAAAGTTAAAGACAATCTAGAAAGCCCAAATTCTCCAAACGTACATGCATCTATATCCATATCTATATCAAATGTATATCTATCTCTTATTCACATCTACTGTATACGAAGAAAAACTGTGAAGTATTTCTCCATTATGAAGGATTCAATTTATAGCCATATATTGAAAGAGCATTACCCTCTATGAATGACTGAGTGTGTTATTTACAAAGGTTCTTTTAGATCAAAGGTTCTTTTAAGATATTATACACACTCTTATGGGGGACTAAACTGTCTCTCTTTCCATATCTATACCACCACAAAAATATGCATCCAAACATTCTTAGTGCTGTCCCCCAAATTTTGGAACATTCTTCCAAGAATGCCGTGTTTCCCTGAAAATATGACCTGTCCTGAAACGAACGCCTTGCCACATTTTTCGCGTCGGCAAAAATATAAGCCCATCCCTGAAAATAAGCCCCCTGGACAACCCGCCCTCCGGCCAGGCAGAGCACCGCTCATCGACCTAGCTGTATCCCGANCTGCAATGGTCATGAGTATTTAAAACGGTCATAAGTAAGTCGTAAGTCGAAGAGTATCTGTATTTCATTTCTATAGCCACACAGCAAACAATTCTGGATAGCTCACAATTCAAAACATATATTACAAACATTTTAAAACAATAAAGACAGTAAAACACATTAAACTATATTTTTTTAAATAAAATCTAACTCAAATAATATCTCTCATTGTAATTATGAATGAGGTACCTTCATCAAAGTTACAGACAATCACTAAGCCTTAAACCAAATTCTGAACAGTGAAGTGTCTTCTAATCTAAACACAGTTAAACAAGAAATCAAAATCATGTCCTCAGTATTCTCACCAGCACAGTTCCAATAATCTATTAATTTGCAAGATACGGGAGAGGATATGAAGGCTGAAAACTTACACTGCTCTTGGTTCAGAAAAGACATCAGTGTGTATGTGCATCATGAGATCCCCACCAGCAGCGTATTCCATTACAAAGCACACGTGATCTTTGGTTTGAAAACAGGCGAAGAGGTTCACCAAAAACGGGTGTCTTACACTGTTCACAGTTTCAAAAATTCGCTTTTCACACATGAGACTGCAAGACAGAAAAAAAAAGTAATGTGACTTATTTTCTCTTTAGTATATTAGAAAAAGAAGTTAAAAGAACAAAAAAAGTCCAGCAGGTCAATTCATGTAACCTGACACATGGTTGAAATAAATGACAAGATTATATAAAAGAACCGCCATTAAAAGCTTATTGTATAACTATTATACAGCTAATGTTTACCTAAAAAGTAAGTTCAGAAGCTTAGAATGGGCTCCTTGAACATACTATATTTATATATATCATATCTTATATATTTATATTATATTATATACTATGTTATACATTATACATATATGATATACAGTATAGTATATATTGTATCATAGTATAGTACAGTGATGGCAAACCTGTGGCACGCGAGGCGCTGCCCTGTCAGCTGGCCGGCGCGCATGCGTGCCGGCCAGCTGAGTTCACCCTTTTTTAAAGCCATTTTTCGCCCTCCCCAGGCACCAGAGGCTTTATAGGAGTCTGGAGAGGGTGAAAAGAGCCCCCCTGCCCCCCGGAGGCTTCATGAGCTTCCCTGAAGCCTCCGGAGCGCTTAAAACGACCCTCCGAGCAAACCGGAAGTGACTTCTACTTTGCTTGGAGGGTTGTTTTGACTGCTCTGGAGGCTTTGGGGAAGCCTCCTGAAGATCCCTGAAACCTCCGGAGCGCTTAAAACGACCCTCCGAGCAAACCGGAAGTGACTTCTACTTTGCTTGGAGGGTTGTTTTGACTGCTCTGGAGGCTTTGGGGAAGCCTCCTGAAGATCCCTGAAACCTCCGGAGCGCTTAAAACGACCCTCCGAGCAAACCGGAAGTGACTTCTACTTTGCTTGGAGGGTTGTTTTGACTGCTCTGGAGGCTTTGGGGAAGCCTCCTGAAGATCCCTGAAACCTCCGGAGCGCTTAAAACGACCCCCTGAGCAAACTAGAAGTGACTTCCGCTTTGCTCTGAGAGTCATTTTGACTGCTCGGGAG